CCAACTTACCTTGTCAAACTTGTTTCCTTTCCTCTCACTCTCCCTCCTGCCAATCTCTTTGCCTTAAGGAAAATCTTCTCAACCCAGGCATAAACAATGGATGGTCATAAACTAAACAATGGCACTCCAAACTATCTTATAACAGAGAATTCTCAGATATTTATAGAAGATACACTGCTTAAAATCTTAACCCTGCCTGGGGATCCCATCATTCCTATAAGACTGTAGTAATCCTTCATTCCTAAGAATGTGTCCTATGAAACTCCATTCAATAATAACTTAATGTTGAAACATGAAGCATTTCTGCAGGCCTTTAACAAAATAACTTAAAGAAACGGGCTTTTAACATTAATACTTCCTACAATGTTTCTATTTGATGTTTCTAAATACTATTATTCAAATGAATGACTACAGCAGAACTATATTCTTATATGCCTTCGCTCAAGTCTTGCCCAAACATGGCTATTCACTTTAAGAAATTCTAAATTTAAAGCATACATGGAAGGTATATGCTGTGGGGGTAGCAAACTTTAATTAGAAAACATATTGCCAGAACATATCACAGCATCAGTGGCAAATGCTTCTCTGAGCTCTAACATTCCAGAAATAGTTTAAAGAACCCTCAAAATATCCAGCTACCCTTTCCCTTCTCACAGCTCAGCATTGATCTGTAACACACATCCCCTGCAAGGCTCAGCTGCAAGTGTGTCACACCATCTCTCTCTCCACACATCAAGAAACATTTGTAAAAGGGGTAAAAGGGATAGAACTAAAGCAACAGTTCGACATACTTCAGTTTAAATGACACTCACCAAAACCATGTGAGGAAAGGAGCAAAGGTATCATTAGTCCTGCTTTATAAGAGGGCAATCAAATGCCTGAAATGTGAAGGTCACAGAGTTAAGTCATAGTGAAATTCTGTGTTTAACAAGATTCTTCTGATTCCAAATCCAATGCTTTTTACACACTGCGTCAGTCAACAATGAGTAAGATTCTATTTTGGTATCTCCTATCCAAGACAGCTATGCTTATGCTCAGACCCAGATCCAGCTACCTAAACTACACGATCCACTTGATCTTTCTCTTACTAAACTCCTGGCCTCCTCAGGAGATGAGCTAAAGCACAGGTCAGATAAGAGCAGGGAAAATGAGAAAAATAGGTTGGTCAGCAAGACCATATGGAGAGCTCAGCAAAAAACTCAGAAGATGGTTGGTCATGTGTACACCCAAGAGGAAAACAGGGGCAGGCAATAGTCACCAACCACATAGATGGTCAGAAAGACTGGTAAAGTCAACAACAACAACAAAGAATTAGAAGGCTCATTACATCTCAGACAAGATGCCAGTCACTCAAAGATTTAATAACACCACTATCTCTGCCTTTCAAAGGTTTAAAGAAAGACAAATAATATAGTGCTAAAAATATACACTAGGCACTCAAAGTTTTGATGCTACCAAGGCAAGGATAAAGATAGAAGTAAAGAATGGAAAAGAATAATGTCTTAATTGAGGAGGAACCCACCTAACAGAAGATAGAGTAAGATGGTTTGTGGAATGGCCTGTTAAAGCCACTCCATGACTGTTTCTGAAACTTAGGTAAAGATTGTGGGTTGACAGTGTGCAGGGACAGTCTTGTAATGAAATTAAGGGGTATCTGAAAAAGAAAAGTGTAGTGTCCATAAAATACAAATCAACCTCAAAAATATCATATAGACTAGTACCCAGCAATAGAAAGGAATGAAGTACATCCAGCATTGCAGATGAACCTTGAAAACATTATGCTAAATGAAAGAAGTCAGTCACAAAAGACTATGTACTATTCAGCTCCAACTATATGAAAAAGCCAGAAACACTCAAATCTATAGGAAGTAGACAGGTAGTTGCCAGAGCTGAGTGAGCTGAGAAAAATTGGGGATAACTATTTACAGGTATGAGTTTTCTGTGGATGGTGATGAAAATATTCTAAAATTGACTGCAGTGATGCTTGGACAGCGTTTGTGAATACACTAAAAGCTACTACTTTATACACTTTTAATGGGTGTCCATGCTACATGAATAATACTTCAATAAAGCTGTTATAAATACACTATCCTATATTCTCATAAAAATTTTCAAACATAAAAATTGTACATGGTTTTATTGTTGGCTTTAAGAAGCCATTTGATGGATTAAAGATCTAAATATTAAAATAGAAACTCTGAACCAGTTGGAACAGAGGTTAGGTAGAACCCTTGAAGACATTGGTGTAGGAAAAGATTTTATGAACAAAACCTCAGTTGCCCGTGAACTAGCACAAACAATCAACAAATGGGATCTCTTCTTATTAAAAGGCTTCTGCACAGCAAGTGAAACCACCAGCAGTGTGAAGAGACAACCCACAATGTCGGAAAAAATCTTCACCTGCTCTTCCTCAGACAAAGGTCTACTATCTCGAATCTATGAAGAACTTAAAAAGATCAGACCTCCCAAATTTAAAGACCCAATCCAAAAATGGGCAGCTGAAAGGAACAGACATTTCTCACACAAAGAAGTAGAAATAGCAAATAAATACATGAAAAAATGCTCAACATCACTGGTCATTCAAGAGATGCAAATGAAAACAACGCTGAGATTCCACTTCACTCCACAAAGAATGGCTGCTATCATGAAATCAACCAATAACAAATGCTGGCGGGGCTGTGGAGAAAGAGGAACCCTGCTCCACTGCTGGTGGGAGTGTAGACTGGTGCAAGCACTGTGGAAATCAGTATGGAGATACCTCAAAGAACTAGGACTGGAAGTCCCATTTGACCCCGCTATTCCACTGCTGGAGATCTTCCCCAAAGAATTAAAAGAATCATACCACAGTGATATATGTGCACCCATGTTCATAGCAGCGCAGTTTGTAATAGCTAAAACTTGGAAACAGCCCAAATGCCCATCAGCTGGAGACTGGATAAAGAAAATGTGTTGTTTTTTTTTAATAAAATGGAGTACTACCCAGCCATAAAAAAATGAGAAATTAGAGACATTTATAGCTAAGTGGACGCACATTGAGGCGATACTCTTAAGTGAAATAAATAGGACACACATGTGTAAATACCGAATAGTTTCTCTGGTGTGAGAAACTGAAAGTGTAAATAAGGACTAAATGTATAATAGGTCATGTGAAATAGGAAGAAAAGGGGCAAAGGGGAAGGAAGTGGGAGGGCTAGGGGAAAGGATAGAAGGGAATGGGATTAATATGAGAAAATGGAAAAATGGGAACAAAATCTTCGTAAATAGGGAGGACTGGAGGGGTTGAAGGAAGAGCTGGGCAAGGGTGAAAAATAAGAACCAAGAGAGACTATGTAAAGGTGCAAATTTCCAATGATGAATGTCATTATATTGTATACCTAAAATGTACCAATCATTAGAATGAATAATCGATAATGTAAAATACGAAGAAAAGGTCCAAAGGGGTAGGGGTAGTGGGAGTGGCAGGGGAAAGGAAAGAAGGGAAAGGAAAAAATGATGATGAGAAATGGAAAAAATGGAAATAAAGTCTTTGTAAATAGGGAAGGGTGGAGGGCATGAAGGGAGGGCTAGGAATGGGGAAAAAATAAGAACCAAGATGCATTATATAAAGGTACAATTCCCAATGAGAAATGTAATTGTGTTGTATACCTACAATGTACCAATAAAAGAATTTAATACAAAAAAAAAAAAAGAAGCCATTTGAAGGCTAAGTTAAATCAGTATAGTGTCCATATGGAACATAAGAGCTATGTAGAACAAGACTGAAGCTACAGCCACATCACTCACTGGTTAGGCATATTTGTTCAAGCTTCTTGCCTAGCTCAGCCTCTGCATCCTCAGGTATAAAATAAAGACAAAATCTACCTTGCAAGGTGAAGAACAATTATGTGATCTATGTAAGTGTTCTATATTTCTAATGTTTTCTAAATACCAGTACAGTTCATGAACCACAGAATGCTTTAGTGAACAACAGACTCCATATACAACACTATACAGTCTAGGTTTGCAGTAGGCTATACCACCTGAGTGTGTGTAAGTACACTCTATGTGGTTCACACAATTAAATCACCCAACAGTTTACTTCTCAAAACATATCCCTGTTAAGCAATGCATGACAATATACCAACAAATGTATCCAGAAATTTTCATGCAAATATCCTTTTCTTACATATTAGTCATAGAAAAACATGTCAACATTCTAATTCAAGTTTCAAGTCATTCATGTCAAGATCTGTCTCATTCATGTTTACCTATCCACCTTACCCAGGAACCAAAGGCAGCACTTTGAATATCAAGTATGCAAAACATTTTGAATGTTTACTATGTTCTAGGGACTCTGCTTCATTCTTAATACTTGGTGATGGTGAATTCAAAACCTGGTCAAAGGAGTGTCATGTTTTTTCCTGTGTATCATGCTTACATATTTTTGCTATTACTCTTTATTTGGGCTTTGTTTTTGTTGCTATTGTTATGTTTTACCATTACCATGAATTAAATCAGAAACTATATTTCTCAAATTTTATTTGAATATGCAAGTATCCATATTTGCCAAGTATCTTTAATGATGTTATAAGGTAGTAAGGCATGCCTAGTTCTGTCTAAAATTTCTAAAATATATGCATAATATTTTAGTCTAGTTTACTTTAATTAGCAACTACATATTTCTGAAAACCCAACATATCTTTAGCTTTTTTTTCTACCTCTTTTTGAAATGTGCAATTCATCCCCAAAGAATGAGAGCTGATTTGAATGATTCAAAGTTGAGTAACAATTTGTAATTAAACAAATTTTTTAAATTAACATATTGACTATTCCCTTTTACAACGTAAAAGCAACCATTTAATGTATTTTACCAGTTCTGCGTCTTATTTTAGTGCTATAAAAACAGTATATTTCCAATACATGCAATTTTTAGTCATTGTAAAGGTGTTAGCACAGCATGGCACCAATATTTTATGGTTAGTTAAAATTCATAACAAAGAAAATGAGGAGGATAACCTTACCATATCATCCGTCAGTATCCTAATATTTAAATGCTGCAAATGAAAAAAAAAATCAGTCAGTAATTTATAACAGCTTTTTTAAACTTTAGTTAATGGAATATATGCAAAATTCTACAATGCTAATTTGAAGATAATTAAATTCTTGACAGTCTAATAAAAAAGCATTATATATTGTTTTAATATCTTTCTCAAAAAGATGGACAAAAGTTACCATATATACCACAGTTTCAGATATTTACTAAAATTTCTTTTGCTTTGTGAGTCTTACAAAGTAGACATGTAAGTGTGGTACAATAAATATATTCTCCCAATTAATAATATTAATTGCCATTAAATATACAGACTTGGAATACAACTGATACATTTAAATATAATTTTCAGAAATTTTTTCATATAAGGCAGTGAAACTTTAAAATTACCTTTACTATGCAACATAATAGATAATAAAGCACTTTGCCAACTTAATTAACTTAATTCTAATAATGAAAAATGTACTGGAATGACTATCTGCATCTTTAACACCAGTCTAATTTATCACCAATGGTGATACTACATACTTCAATGTCATTGCCAACTTTTCTGAGAACCCTTTTGCTGATTTCCTTGCTAGACAAACATAAGGCACTTTAAAAAGTGAATATGTTAATTTCCTGCAAAGCACAGTTCAAAAGAAAAATAATTAGGAAAAAAAAAACAGAAATCTGTTTTTTGTTTTTTTGGTACTGGGGATCGAACTGGGGTCCTTGCGCTTGCGCAGCAGGCGGCAAAACCACTGAGCCAAATACCTGGCCCTAGAAATCTGTTTTACAAATCCTAGAACAGGGAAAGATTTTCTATTCGCATGATTGTAATCAATTACCAATTCTCCCTTCCTCTTGTTCGTTGGAGAATTATATCTTTCAAAGACCAGAGTCAAACATTTTCTAAGTAGGAAATCAGGCCTATTCCTTCAAAATTATAGAAGGAAATATGGAAACAATCCTTATCTAGTAGAGTGACACAAAGTTAAATTCAGCATTTATTAAACAGAATGAAATTTGGCGTTCATGTTTGTGTAATGAAGTGTATCATTATCCCTTCTGGAGAAGGGGCAGTGCAGAAGATTGAACCCTGGGCCTCATGCATACCTGGCGAGCACTCTACCCCTAAACTGCATCCCCAGTCCAAGTACCTCTTTATGCTCATCACTCTACCTTAGTGATGATCCCACTTAAACATCTACAGACTAAGTCATTATTCTAGATTTTCTTCCTTCACCAAATGTTCCTTCTAATACATAGGAAAAAAAGAACCTTGTATACACCAAAGAATGTATTCAAATTAATAGTCATTACTAGTCACACTACTAGGTTCCAAATTAAACCCCCATATAATTAGAACTGCTTACTTTGACCTGGGAATAAGAAAGTAACAATACTGGATAAACTGAGTCAATGTCTATTCTTAAGCTACACAATTTGCTTTTCAGCAATACTACTTTCAGCTTTTGAAGTTAATAAGTATGCACAGTTGTCCTTAAGAATGCATATGATCCTGAGCAACACTGTTAAATTTTTAAGGCATTTACAGCCAGTGTCAACTCAGGCACATTTAATTACAATTAAACCCAAAACTACACATCTCCGAAATTTGAAGGGAAAAAAAAAGCAAGAGAAGACCCTCTGAGGTTCTCTTGTTAACAGAGGTTTCTAGCCCACTGCATTTGGTTAACTACATCTTTTTATGAAGGGAGGTTATTATCATCCCAAATACAGCTCATATTGCTCCTAAAAGGGGTCACTTTCAAGGTCCTGTCACAGGAAAAAAAGGAAAATAGTCAAGTTCTAACAATACCATGTGGTCTAATGCTTCCAAAGTAAAGCCAAGGAAGTCAAGTATAAAGCTAAAATAATGTTTAGAATAGTATGTCACAATAAACTGAAAACACCTACTTGCACAAATGAAATATTCCAAGACCAGTGTGAGTTGCTTCAGGGAAATGTCATGAAAGTGATGGAGAGGGAGGGAGGAAAGGAGGGACAGAGAGAGGAAGGGATATATATATAGAGAGAGAGAGAGAGAGAGGGAGAGAGAGAGAATTATTTTAAAAGAAATGAGACTAGACAAATAATAATTTATTTGTCTAAAAACTAAATAGAAGGTACAGAAAACAATAGGTATGAACGTAGAAAATGAAAGTTACATGACAAAACGTAGACAATGTAAACATCCAAGAGAAACACTTTTATTATTTTATCTTCAAAGGTCTAAACTTTGACGGCCTTTTAAATTAGTTATGGTCACATCCTTCAGGAAAAAGAGTAGTTACTCTTATTTAAAACCAAGAGGGCCGGGGATTTAGCTCAATGGTTCCGGCACCTGCCTCACAAGCCCAAGGTCCAGAGTTCGATCCCCAGTACCAAAAATAAATAAATAAATAAAATAAAAACAAGAGAAGGATACCTTTTTTGTTACAGTTGTTGGTTTTTTAAAATTTTTCCTTTTTTAAGTTTTGAAGCTGCCTGACTTGCGGTCTTCTAATGGGATTCAATTAACTTACTGAAGACTTGATCTGTTTTTCAAAACAATATTAGCACATATAAGCCCATTTGGAACCTATACCCAATATTTCACAAAAAAAGAATATGTGATAAATCACAACAGAATTATAAGGCAGGAGTAGCAAACAGAAAAAAAAAAAAAGAAACCCAAAGGAATGTAGGTATGAAAAATACAACAGAGTTTGAGAAAAAATTCAAGAAGCTAAGGTCAAGTTCATTATTCCTTGTCTTCTGGAAAACACTTACCTATCGATTCTCACCAGTAGCAAAAGCAGCCAATAGGGCAGGAAATTACAGCATATTCAAGAGTCCATGATAGGACTGAACTGACTGACACAGAGTAGCAGTGATCTGAGAAATTTGTTTCTATACCAAAACAATAAAGTCACTGTAGGTTTCATTTGAAGATTTAGCTTTCTAAAGAAGACTACATGGCTATTTCTTTACACACACACTCTCTGAAAGAAACTAATGAAGACAAGCTAAAATTAAAAGTCTGAATAGACCTAAGCACTAGTAATTTCCCCTAAAAACTGCTGTAACTGGTAACAGTCTACTTCAAAAACATGAAGGAATGGACTCACTTTAGCAGCACATATATTAAAATTGGAACTACATAGAGATTACCATAGTCCCTGCTCAAGGATAACACATGAATTCATAAAATATTCCACATTTGGGCGGGGGGGGGGAAGATTTGGGGATGGGGGAAGACAGAAAGGCAGGGAGGGGAAGGAGAAATAAAAAAGGACCAAGACGTCAAATATATCATATATATGTATATTAATTCCCCATGATGAATGAATTTATTATGTATCACAAACATATCCTACTTTAAAAATTTTTGTTAATTTTAAACAAGAAGGAAAAAGAAATAATCACTGAATATCTGGTTTTAAAAAAGAGGTAGAGACTATATCAAGTGACAACCATTTGTAGGATGTATGAATGTTAATTTTAAATTCAATTTGATAATGGTAAGTTTACATTATCTCAAGGTTCTGCTTCCTTGACTCATACACTTGTAAAATGAAGACTATCCATTAAGTTGAAATAGCTGAGAAGGAGAAAGAGAATGACTACCATAAAATTCTCACACAATTCTGTGGGGTTTGGGGCCTTACTTTTGTAGACACAAAACCATGAGGGTAACAGCCTTAATTAAAGAAATAACTATATAGCACCAAAAATATTGCTTTTATACTGGTACTTGAGGTACTGTTTAAATGTCTGGTTAACCAAGACACTTTTAAAAATGAAGTACTTCTGTTTTATAGCCACCAGCAATGCACTTTACTATCTTCCAGTTGGGGAAAATAGGAACGGTGCACATCAATTCAGTTCCTGAGTAGCATTTGCTGACATTCACTTCCTTAAATGAAAATTCAAGGAATATTAAATAAAAGCAACTAGGAACACCTTTAAAAACAGTAACATAGCAGCAACTTTTAAGGGCTGTATTTACCCACAAAAAAGAAAAAGAACATACAGTCTTAGACATATTAATGTGACTTTATGAATTTTAGTTATATTACCTGACCTATGATTCCATAGGTGTTATTAATGTTTTATGGCATTGGTATAGAATAAAACTGGACATATTAAAAACACACAATTCTGTCCACAGGATCACAGGTAATTGGTTAAGGTGCAGGATTAAAGGATATCAGGCCTCTTTTCCTAGGCCAAACATTCACCCTTTTTTTTGTAGTCCTATGTTCCTCAACTTGCTAATTCTATTTTTCTCCCTAAAAAGTAAGGAGCACCACATATAGATGGGTAACAATGTTTTCTGCTAATGACAGTTCCTAGGACGAATGGTCAAAAGGGTCACTGTGGAACTGAAAGAGAAAAAGGAGCCTTTATAGATTTTTTTCCTCAAAAGAATATAGGATCCAAGGGGAAAAAAAGTAGAAACACAGAACATAGGTCTCTATATTCCCATTTAAGCAATGCATCAAAACTTTTATTGAAGACAGTGCCTACGGTCAAAAAATAGATTTAGAGCTTTTCAGAGCACTGTGCTAAATGATGTGACTATCACCACCAACTTAGTTTATAAGCAAGTAACAAAAATGGACAACTGCATGACGCACAAAGCAATATATAAACCATACAAAGAAAAAAGATGTCAAGGTAGATCCCAAACTTTTAGCACATGTTATGTTTTGTTTCATTGGTTAGCACATGTGAACTAGCAGGCCAGTGGAGTGAAAGATCTATCTTTTGATGTCACTAGAAACATGACAGCCACCAACAATTGTCAACCTTGCAGCTTTGATCAACTTGTCATTGTCATCATACTCAAATATACTAATATAACATAATTTGGGGTCATACAATTCAACCCATTCAGTTTACGTCATCTAACTGGGTTGCTATGAAGGATTACAACAGAAAGGAAACTTGTAAGAGGAAAGCTTCCAAACATACCTGACTCAGTTAACAGTTTTCATCAAGTAGGCCCTCTAGACCACTGGGTTTTCAACTTTT